ACAACTATGAAATACACCGGGGATGAAACCCGCGATGGTGGCCAAACACCAGGTCCTTTCGAAGAAATGCGACGAAGGATGGCGGAAAGCGATATAGAAACAGCAGGTTCCCGAAAGCGCAAACGTAAGGAAAAAAAGCGAAAGTGGAGGTGGACTTTGGGGGACGGAGAAGATAGTGGTGCGCAAACAACTCCAACCACTGCCATGGAAAGAACACCAATCACATCAATATGGAGGGGTGCGGAAACTACCAACACGGATTCAATAATGACCGGAAATAGAAATGAAAACGGTAATGGAAATGGGAGTTCGGAAAATGCTATTTCGGGAAGCGAAAATGAAGTTCCGTCGGATGAAGCGATCAATATTGATCGGTATCCGAGCTTTGGAAACGTTGGTGAGGCAAAGGAAGCAACAGATGATCGTGATAGGCGAGGACATTCGGTAGATCTTTACATTCTCTAATTTGAATGAACGATGATGCTTGCTACGAGTACAAGAAAAGGGGCAATGAGGCTCAGCTAAGAAGCTCATCTGCCTTGGTACATCGGCACTCGTATACAAAGAAGAGGGTGGGTGTACCGTACGTACTGTATGACTTTATGACTCGACTCTATCGACTCACCATTATATACTCGAGTAGTGTGTGTGATGAGACATAGGGTCTAATTTCTAATTTCTAATTTTGTCATTCTTGTATGTTATTTATTGATTTATTACCAATAAATCAGAGATTTTACATACAATACAATTTACAAACAGTTGATTCCCAAGAATATTTTCAGGTTTTACTTCTAGATTCGCTGCGCGTATTACTATTAATACACCTCAGATCTAACACGATATTCTACACGGCACCCAAGTATTTCCAGTCACTTCTGACCCGACTTCCATATCTCTGACATTCCATCTTCATTCATCTGATATCAAGTCTAGTATGGAAAAATGTATCTAGTAGTAACTACGAGTATGTCTACCTACATTTAATATCGGCGCTAGATTGCGCAGCGCATGTCCACCAATAATCTGTTTTCGTTGGGGGTGGGATCCGCAGATCATGAGCCAAGTGCTCACGAGATCTAGTGCTTTTGACTTTTGACTTACTCCCAACCAACAAATAACCAATGAGAGTCGCTGCGTCTATGTTATGGCTGAGAGCACTTATATGCTGAGCGCGTGTAGTCAGCGTGCAAATACTGTATACTGATGTGAACCAAAGTTGTTTCATGTTCAAACGTACCTCGTGATCACGTTGGAATTTGAGGGCGTGAAGGGGAAGGGGAAGGGGAAGAGTCTTGGGGTGGGTTTGTTGTTGCCCTTTTGGGTTGGGTGAGGGTGAAGGTATAAGGATGGGATGGGATGGACGGACGGTTATTTTTTGAATGATCAGTAATGTGAATGTGAATGTGAATGTGCATGTGCATGTGCATTTAAATTTTCCAAGACAACCAGATTCGAAGTTGTTTCGCCCTTTCTTTTTTATTCTTCATTGTCGGTTTCCTTCTTTCTGCTATACTTCTTTGCGCATCATTCAATTATCTTGTACTTGTTACCTATCTCTCACAAAACTGTACCAACAAAATGCCCTACGACATCGAATCTCAAGACCCCACCTCCCTCGACCTCTACGACACCAACCACACCTCACCCCCCTCTCCAATCCTCCTCCCAACCCCCATCTCCAAACGAGCAGCCCGCTTCTCTACCCACATATCACCCAACAACATAATCTCCCCTTCAGCCTACTACCCCTCGCAACCCAACCTCGGCCCTGTCCCCGCCGTCATAAAATCCGCCAACGGGAACCTCTTCTGGGCAGACGAAAGCTGCGTTCGCCGCGTCGGTCTCACATGCCACGAAGCGCGTCTCTTCCTGCAATTGCAACTTGGAAATTACAACTATGGAGAATACGCCGAGATGTTCCATGCATTTGGAGAAGAGAAGAAGAATTTGCAAGAGAGACTAGAGGAATTACCATGGTGGAGAGTTGAGAGGAAAAGAGTGTGGGAGAAGAGGGTGGAGTGGTTGGGGAGGTTGGAGGAACCGAGACTTTGGTTGTTGTATTTGATGGCGAGGAGAAGGAGGATTCTGTGGGTGGCTTGTAGGAAGATTTTGGGGAGATTGAGGGAGAAGAGGGATGTAAGGGTAAAGGATTTGGAAAGTCGGGAGGTGAGATCGCAGAGAGATTGGCAGGTTCCGACGATTAAGTGTCCGATGGTTTCGACGGGTTCGCAAACTTCGGATTCAATGAAGCCCGGGACTTTGAGATCTTATTCAGGGGTATCCGAGGACACACAAACCGGAGATGTTGCATCTTCATTGATGGAACCAACTTCGAATAATATCTCTCATCTCATGCCCTCCGATCAGCCCTCCTCTCGTCCAGATATAAGCATGAGCACCCACACCCATAACTCTCACCCCCACTCCCACTCCCACTCCCACAAACCCTCCACCTCCAGTCCACCGCGTCTCTCCACTCAAACAACCCATACCGATAGCAATCCACACTCCTGCCCCATCTTCACGCGCCCCTTCTCCGCCACTACCACCTCCATCCGCCTACTCACCGCACTGCTCCTCCCCCCACCAACCCCCTACCTAATCCTCGGGTACTTCCCCACCTCCACCCTCGATCCCCACGAAACCTACCTTCCCCTCTCCACCCCCTCATCCCTCTTCTCCTCTCTCCACCGCGCCGAACATTCATTACGCGGATACCGACGTTTTCTATCTTTGAAATCGTTGGCTGGTTTTGGTCTCTATAAATGTGATATTGAAAAGGGAGCGCATGTGAAGGTTATACTGGGGGAAGAGGAGAAAATGGTGTTGAGGAGGTTTTTTGCGGCGTTTAGGGATAAAGGGGGGAGAGGGTTGGGATTGGGGGTGCGGAGGGAGGAGTGGGATGAGGATGTGGGAAGGGCTTGGATGGGGTGGGTGGTGAGTAATATGAATGGGGGGATGGAGGGGAGTGGGCAGGGAGCAGGGGGACCGTTAGAGGGGAGGTGGAGTTTAGAGTTAGTGTATGATTGGTAAGTTTTCAATTTTTTGTGAAAGAAATGCACAACTCATAGTTAGAATAGGTGTCCATATCGACTCAGCGCCGTAGTAATAACTCCATTACTTCTAAGTTTGGTAGTAGGAACTTGGTACATGGAAGCGGGCGGGGATGTAATAACAGCTTGGACTTTGGCTTTGTATATTGTGACGGCTGCTGCGGCCATCGTTGCACTGTTGGGAATTATTGGGAGTTTGAAGGATGTGTGAGGGTGGGGGTGAATTGCATTGATACTGACTGCGTGTGGGAGTTTAGTGTGGGATATGTAGAGGTTCGGTTCTAGTTTTCTGATCTATTGCTCAAGGGGGGCTAACATTGCTAGATCTTATATCGTCTTATTTGAGTGTTAATTCTATATTTGATTGGGGGTTTTTATGAGGAGCAATGGGAAATGTAATAGATTTAGGAACTATCTGTATCATCTGAGATTTTATAATACAAATTACAACCATAGCCGCATGACTTGGAAAAGTTGACATGTTTCTGGATAACAAATAGACAATTCGCATCATTCAATGTCCTCCTGGCTATATCAAAATATCAATGAATCGAGGCTGTGTGGGTACTTCACGTATCTTTCACTTATTTCTGAACTCAAGTCGGCTAGCGAGCTTCCAACAATATTAAGCTAAGAGCATATTGAATTGAAGTATTATTTTATCGAATATTGACTCCTGTCCAAACCTCGTTCTATATACTCGGTACACCCATCAGAATTGAACAATGGAGAAGTATCCCATCCGATACCCCTAATCCTAATCCGTCACCCACCATGATCGAAATATCGATATAATTATCTCTTATCCTTACTCTTTAATCATCATACTTCCCACTTAACTTCACCAACCCAGCCTTCTCATTCTCCCCCTTACTCTTCCTCGACCAATCCGGCGCCTCATCTCCTCCCTCATCCTCTTCCTTGTCAGCCTCTTCCTTCGTTCTATGCACAGTCTTCGGTGCATGTTCTGCTGGCGAATAGATGGTATACAAGATCAAAGGTTTATCTCCCGTATTCACAAATTGATGCTGAGTTCCTGCTGGCACCACCATCAAGTCTCCCTTCTTGACGACTTGTTCTTTGCCATTGATAGTTGCGAGACCAACACCGGAGGTAAAGGTGAGTGCTTGGTCGACTGTGTGGACTTCGTCCCCGATGTCTCCACCGACTGGGACGGTCATGAGAACGACTTGGGAGTAGAGGCCTGTGAACTAATTGGGCTGTTAGTTATTGTTCGCTCTATAATGTAGTATATGGCAGAGAAAGGGGCAGTATTTTGTAGAGGGAGCAAGGTAGTTACACTTACAAGTACTCTACGGAATTCATGGGATGAAGCAGGAAGGTCTGAGGTCATTTGAGGAAAGTAGACCATATCGTGTGAAGGAGGTGATGTGTTGGGTTTCTTAGATGCCATATTGCGATGACCTTGGACACTCAACGGAACAGAGATTCTGAATGGAGTTGTATTTCTACACTTAGATAGAAGATTGGAATTGTATCTGGTGCTACTTCTGACGAGTAAATTACGAAAGGTTGATGGAAGCATGGAGATGGAGGGAAATGAGAGTAATGAAGAAGGGGTTTGAGATGAGGGATTATATATGAGTAGATATCTTTTGAAAATGATTGGAAGATTGAATGATTGGATGGTGGAATGATTTCTTTATGATGTATACCTATTCAGCCATATGAGAATGAGAATGAGAATGAGAATGAAAATGAGAATGGATATGTCTGAATTCATATCAATGCTCAATGTGATGATGTCATTGAATACTACTGTAGGTATTAACCTGATGATGCTTTACTTTGTAATCAATTTGCAGTAGGAAATCCTAGTATCATTGGACATTATCGAACAGAATCTCATCATATTCAGAGTATATATAGATATACATGAGTGTATAAATGGAAATGCATGATTGTTCATATTTATCCAATCCGAGTCATGGTGACAGTCTGATAAGATCACAGAATATGTTTTCCCCGCATTTCGGATTCGGTAATCGGCCCCCGGATTATCTTAAATATTCAAACACCGATAATGATCTTCCTCAATCATTTCATTGTTATATCAACAAACGACACTGAAATCTTATAATGAATTCTATACCACGATTATCGAGAGCTTTGGGTAGCAAAAATGCCAATTGGATATGTACAGCATGTTCCAAGTCAAAACGAACGAACACGTCCTTTTTTAAAACCTCTATAAACAGAAGCATTTCCAATAATTCAAAACCTCAAGGAAATGTAGCGCCATCGATGGAGCAACTGAGAGCTCCATTCTCACAGAAGAATAGTTCGACTATGTACTATACAATCAGTATCATTCTAGGGACTGTGGCATTCTCATATGGTTCTGTGCCAATGTATAAAATGGTACATTCTTTCCCCACGCCACTTTACTATTACTACTTTCTTAGCTAATATATATTTCTACAGATCTGCCAAACCACAGGATGGGGTGGACAGCCGATTAAAGCTCCTGGACACGGCGGCAGTGGTGTAGATGGTGAAAATCCCGCTGAACGTCTCAGACCTGTCACTTCCGCAAAACGTATACGAGTGACCTTCAATGGATCGGTTTCCGATGTCCTGCCTTGGAAGTTTACACCACAACAGAGAGAAGTTCGAGTTCTACCAGGAGAGACAGCATTGGCATTCTATACAGCTACGAACAAATCTGATGAGGATATAATTGGGGTGGCAACGTATAGTGTGACGCCGGGACAAGTGGCTCAATATTTCAGCAAGATCCAATGCTTTTGTTTTGAAGAGCAAAGGTTGAATGCTGGAGAGACGGTTGATATGCCTGTATTTTTCTATATTGATCCAGATTTCGTTAATGATCCAAATATGAGAGGTATTGAGCAGGTTACTTTGAGTTATACGTTCTTCAGTAAGTTTCTCCTTTCCAGCCGAGATGTGAACTTTCAGAAAGATACTAATATGTTCAACAGAGGCCAGGTATGATAAAAATGGACAATTGAAGGCTATGCCTGTTGGTATGTAAAGAATCATGAGATGTATTATATTGATGTGCATTGGGCGGCGTTAGGATTCACAGATCACATAGATCTTAGATGTTTACATTACTATGATGAAAGTATATATTGTAGGCCGACTATCTATTCATAACCACACTTCTCTCGTACTTTTCTTCCTCTATTTGACTTTCTGAAACTAATGATGATGGATCATGATGTGCATATGATGAATTGTAGTGAGATACAACAGCCAATTTGATATCTCGATTCCGAGTTTATAGATATTCGAATATCGAAAATTAAAGAATGAAATACATTTAGATTTATTACTCGAGTTATATTTTACTATTATCAAAACTCAGCTACTTGGAATAGACTTAGTCCTAATACAGAATAAGGTTTTAGTTAATAAATCTTAATTATATATTTTTATTAATTAGATTTAAAATAGAATATATACTTTATTAATAAGTTTTAAAACAGATTTTTTTTAAAAAAGTATTAGATATTATAGACTTTATAATTAATAATAATCATTATTATTAAATACATTTCTGAATTCTTTATAGATTATTCAATTAAATCTAATATTAGTACAAAACTGAATGAGAACATGCAGGGGACAATCGCTTTCCTCAACTAGGAATCAGACAGCCGATCTATAGAGAGCCAACTATTAGAGTTTGTATGATTAACATCTTTACTTAAAATATATTCAAACAACCACAATCAAACTTGTTACTTGATACTTGATACTTATTTATTGCTTGCTCTTTTCTTTTGAACCCATAGAGTATTCTTGAACACAACATATTGATAAATTATACCTCAAGTAAGTCAGCAAATCAATGATCTGATTGATTGAAGACTTGCTCATCCTCGGCAGTAATTTACCACTTCTATAATTATCACCTGATAACTTTCACTCACCCATTGTCATCCCAATCATCCCAACAATGTCCACGAAAAACCCTGGAAATCCTGGTGCAGGTATTGGTATTGATAATGATCCGAAGACAGATTCACCTTCCATATCTTCTACATCTTTTATACATTTTACAGATTCTCCTTCTATATCTTCTACTGGAGAGGACGGTATGATTCACATTTCAAGAAGTGTGATTCATGAGACTGCTTTATCTGGACATCGAGGTCAAATGGATGGTTTAAAAACTTATGAAGAAGAGATCCTCAGTTTGCTCAAACCGTCAACACCAATAATTCCTTTATCACCTCTGCTTTGCCCCTCGACTGAAGATCTCATGGGAATGATGGGGGAAATGGCTGTTTTTTCCAATGAGACAATCGAGTTGGAGAAACATCAACCTTTCATAACTACAACTCCTGAAATTATTCAAGGAATCTTTAAACACCTTAATCCTGTTGATACAGTCTGCTTCAGTCTGATGAAGTTTGTACTTCCAGATATTAGGTAGTCTTATGATGCCATGTACTAACTTTTTCTCAGTAAATACATTCACAATATCTATCTCTCTCTCGGCACCCATCATATCCCTGACTTCAAACCACCACTTCAAATTGGTCGACCTGAAAGCAAATTTCCTGTCATCCCTGGACCACAACATGGATGTCGTCACTGTTGCCCTGTGGCATTTTTCCCAGCACATTGTGAATTGCATTTTCATCTGAAGAGTTTCATGCCATCGAATCTCACTTTTTGCGCAGGACAGTGTCAAAAGTTTACGAGCTGTGAACCTTATGATTCAAAAGCATGTGGAATGTGCGGAAGGGGTTATAGGAAACAGTTTGAGAGGGGTAGGAGAATGATAAATGTAAAACGGCCAAATGGAAGCATACACAAATGGTATGAACAGCCGAGACTTGATAGGGAGAATCGGGATCGCGAGGATCGTTTGCGCTTACGAATAACTGCACAAGCATGAAGAGTTGAGATACTGAAAGTGCGGCATTTTTAAGGCGTCATATGGTTGGGTTGGGAGTTCTTTAGTTGGCGCGAAACGGATAGGATACTTAGCGGAGGACTGATGTCTTTGATATGATTCAGGTTTACGACACACATGGAATTTTGCTGGATGGAGTTCTAGGGGTCAAATGACCATGGTACGATTCAGTTTGAGGGCACTCCTCACGTAGATTTTGACCGGACGGAGTTTTGAGAGACAAAAAGGGTTATTGCACAGGCGTCTACTGTGTTGGCAATCCTTCATCTGTAATAGAATACCTGCGGATGGATTATAGCATTATTCATGGATGGTTGCGTTGAACTGCAATGTTCGGGAGGTATCAACAAGCGATACGGATCCGGTGGACATTTGAATACGGGCTTTCACATGAATAGGTATTTATCGACAAAGGACTTTGGTATAGAAAGTAGATTAAGGTCAATTCAGATATGAATCGGGGCATGATAATTCTGCTCTCTTGATAGTCTGCTCCCTTTTTATGCTTTTGAAACAGAAAATGATCACGATTTATATATAACACACTTCCTTCCAAACCCTTCTACTCAATATGCCTGATCGTCCTCCCTCCAATCTATATATACCTCATCCACTCCCTCTGCATTGTCTTTCTCCTTTTCCCCTTATTTGTCCTGCTTCGCAATCATTCTCCCTGTTTTCCTCTCTTACCTTCCCTTTCCTTCCCTTTCTTTCTCTTCCCTTTCTTTCCACCTCATCATTCCTCTTTTCCACTTCCACTTCCACTTCCACTTCCACTTCCACCATCTCATCCCCATCCCCATCCCCACACCCCTCTTAAAACCCAAACACCCAGCATATATATACACAAACCCCTGTTACCCCTCAACAACCACCATCATCAAACATTCGATACTCACGAAACAAGAACCATATTGAGAACTTGTCACCCCCGAGGTTCAAGAGAAATCATCTGACCATAGGCTGCGTGACCATAGTGAACAATAATATAATATAACGTTATTGCTGAATTTTTGTTTTCGCCCCGTCCAGACCCCCTTTGTCGAAGGAAGGGGAGGGGGATATCGAAAGAGAAGGTTAGGGTTAGGAGGGTTAGGATGAACTGGAGGGGGCGGATTATTATATTATCCTTCCAATATCCATCCCTCCTGATCTCTCGCCTCAGCTACCATCCCCAACTCCAATTTCGTTTTTATTTAACACTTTCACTTCCCACTTCCTACTTTTATTCAGTGTTCTACTTCTCCCCTCCTCTCCTCTCCTCTCCTGCCTTGTAGAAGAGGAGAGGCTCGCTAGTGTTTGCTATTAGAAGCAGGAGAGAAATGATCAATTTCTTTTTGAAGAGAGATAGAAAAGAAACATTGAAATTAAGATGAAGAGTAAAGAGGAAATGTGAAAATGGAGTTTCGAAGTGGAGAGGAATTAAAAAAGATTGAAAAATGTATATATATATTCTCCAATCTCTTATTTATTCTTCTATTGTAATAATTTCGTAACTATTCAGAATTCTGTATATCATGGGGTTTACTATAAAACTGAAAATATGACCTATTATTTATCTTGTCTTTTTTAATCAGATAATATTTTAGTATGTGATGTGCTATACTACTCGAGTACGATAGATTATCTTATTATGTAATGCCCAATCAAAATTTCAAAAACTCACTCCCCTCCTCTTTTCTTCTGGTTCCAAGACTAGGAGGTAATAGTAAATTTCAACTACTAGGAGCGGGAGAGGAGAGGAAAGGAGTAGAAGGGGAGAAGTAAAACACTGGGCGAGTATGGGGTATGGGGTATGGGGTATGTGGTATGTATGATCTTGTTGGGGTGAGGTGAGATGAGGGTGGGAAAACAATAGAAACTGTGGAGAAAGTACCGGTATAGAAGTATCGAAGTATAAAAGTACACAAAAGATATGCTATGACGTGGGTATATACATATACAATTCACATACACTTCACATACTATTTGCACAATAATAACCTCCCTACATCACCGTATAGGAGGAGTAAGAAGCCCGATCGCTGTATTCCCACCCACATCTTACATTGTCTATTCTAAACGGTGTTGAGAATTCATTTGGTTGTATATCGATTTACTACTATCCTGGTAGGATCTATAGATATTGATAGTTCTAAATAGGCAGAAAGACGACTTAACACTATCCAAGAAGAAGAATTGTAATCGAAAGAGATTCCCAGTTCTACTTTATGTAATCTCTAGCCATCTATACGAATAAAATGTACACTGACTCTATTATTCCGAGCTACTATACTATACTATACTACGAGTATATCATACTTATAGAGGTTTCATTATTACTTCCCTCGATATATACATACAACTTGGAATATATTTCTTTCAAATTGCTTTCAAATTGCTCTCAATACAATAGCATAGCATCCATCATCCCTACTTTATTTCATGTCACGAGTGGTTCAGTTCAAACTGGACGTTCAAAATCACATCACACTTGATGAGTTTGTTTTGCAGGACATAGAGCTTTCTTTTCTAACATGACCAACTTTGCTTTGTTTATCTGATGATACCATATTATATATACTTCATACTCAATGATATATGTCAAAATAATACTAAATATTACTGAAATTTCACTAACATCAAAAGCCTCATTTCTTGTGCACTTCAAGGATATCTATCGCTTTTAATTGTAAACGCCACGCTATGCAGCTGCTATGATAGCACAAAGACGCTGTTTCGAGACCTGCTCATATAGTATACAATGCAACATATACCCAGACCATGAAGCCTTCGCTATGAATAAAAACTACTTTCCCAATACTCCGAAAACTCCGAAAACTCCACGGGTATCAAATTATATACAGTCTCCCTTTCATAATTTTAGGCCACCATATGATTTTTGTTCTTTGGCAACATCAACCAAGAACGGAGGACTTCAAACAAACTTCTTCCTCTTGGTCTCTACTTGAGATTTAGTTCCTCTCTCAATGCAAAGAATTCTTTCCAAAACATTCACCACAAACCACTGCACGCCCAAAATCCAAATCCTCAAAATCAAATCACTCAACCCAAGTACCGGACGCTTGCCTCGACTAAATGTACTATCTTTGAACTCAAATGGAAGAGTAGCACCTAAATGATCCATTGCCACCTTTATGCCACTACTGAAGCCATCTTCGTGGAATCCGTATTTAGTCCACGCTCCACAATAGGATATGCTTCTCATGTTTTGAATCTCTGGAAGTTGGGATTGAGCGGTTATGGCACGGGTATTGTAGAGTGGATGTCGATATGTGTATGTACTGTGGGTGAATTCTGGTTTTGGAGGAAATAGTGGATTAAGCGTGACGAGGACATCACCAAATTTGGAGGTCGGAATGTGCTGGAGAATATTCATGTTGTATGTTAAGCAAACTTGATCAACATTTCTAGATTTTGAGGTTGAAGAAGCAGAAGAAGCAGTGATATAGTTCCAAGCGGACCAGGCTTCTCTCTTTTGAGGCATAAGAGATAGATCGGAGTGAAGGACTGCAGTGTTTTTGGATGTTTGAAAGCCGGTAAGGATGCGACGTTCGGCCGGCGTGGATGAGGATCGAACTAGATTATATGCGATATCTCCATGAGTGGCTACTATAACGTGATCGAATATTTCCTCTTTGCCATTCTCGAGAATTAAGCGGATACGATTGTCGTCATCATTGCTTATTGACTCGACTGGAGTAGAGAGGAAAATATGATTAGGAGGGAAGCCCTTCATTACGGCATCGAGGTAGCTTTTAGCCCCATTTTTGACCGTTAGCCATTCGGGGCGAGCAGCAACGGTGCTTAATAAATGATGATTCCACCTGAACTGTTAGCATATAAAAGAGTTTATCCGCTGAAATTTGGACTTACATAAATCGGACCAAAGTAACAGCCGGGAATTCTAGAGAACACTTATCCGGACTTGTACTCCATACCGCTGCAGTCATTGGTATAAGGTAGTCATCTCTGAATGCATCCGAATATCCTTCCCTATCCAGATATTGACCTATAGTTTCTTGCTTCTCCACATAATGTGAGCCCTTGGCATTTCCGTTCCCATTCGAATATACCTCACTCTTCTCTTCCTCTTTAAGTAGGTCCAAAGCAAACTGGTTAAAACGTATAATATCAAATATCATTCTCCACATTCGCAATGAGAAGAGGTTCATTCGTTGTGCGAACACTGCTGAGAGTGAGGTTCCCGACCATTCGAACAATCCCTTATCTCGAGAGACACCAAAGGTCATTTCAGTAGGTACGGTAGGAACATTGATGGCATTGAGAAAAGCTATGAAGTTTGCTATTGTATCCTTATCAGCCAATATGTTCTTGAAAGCTGTCGCATGAGAGATCAGGCAAATTAATAACTTACGATACGTAGCAGAATTTAAGACTATGAATCCTGTATCGACTGGAGTTGTTTTGCCATTATGAGGATAATTGACAGTATTTGTATGTCCCCCCAACCGATCCGCAGCTTCGTAGATGTAAACATCGTGGTGAGTGCGATTCAAAGCCCAAAGAGCGCCAATTCCAGCACATCCACTTCCGATGATGGCGACTTTCTTTCTAGGGAATCGTTCAGTTAGACCGGCGGACATGATAAATATGGAAGTGAAGGTAAGTGAGTGAGTGAGGGAAGAAGAGAAATAAGTGATTGTAGACAAATTGAGAAAGTATAGAATGGAATATTCACATGTCAGTATTAAGCGGCTTTTCTTGAGTGGCGGGAGAAGCTCCAGCTGAAGTAGTGCAGCTTGGAGAGCTGGCTGATGATGATGGCATTGCCTTTCTTTGGTTGAAATATCGGTACAAGTAGCAGCACAAAAGATATAATTGATAGCTTTTTCGATCAATTGACTTTCTTGAGGCTACGCAAGTACGAGCTTACCTAGGTAGTGTAGTTGTAGTGTAGTGTCTTTGAATTTGATTTTGGGAATTTGGAAGGGGAAATGGGAAGGGTAAGGGGAATGAGAATGGATAGAATGATTTGATAGGAATAAAGCGATGGCTGTATGGTAAAGACAGATAGATATAAATTTGTTATTAGGAAGATATTCTCTTATTCTCTCTCTTACCTTTTTAGCTCTACCTTTTCTTTTACCTTTACCTTTTTCCCTACCTCTCTCTCAAGCCCCTTCATCTGTGCTCGAGCTTCATTACAACGATGCCGAAACAAACTTTGGTGGACTTGGATTGTATGTAACAAGGGGGTGAACTTCGGGCAATTGGGATAAGTCGGATTATCGGTCTCTATTAATGCCGATATATTGATATTCACACTTGTTGATTCAGCCACAGACACAGCCACATCTTATTCCATCCCAAGGCTGTTGTTGTTTTAGATGTCGCAACTCCCAGTTTCCTTTCCCTTTCTTGAAGTTCTGTCATACAATAGTTCCTATTCACTTGATTGTACTTACTTCATTTTCTAAGGAAGTATTCATTTGTCATAAACTTCCATTATTGTCCATTCATGGTTCGTTGATATACATTGACCCTGAACCGAGGAAGGTACTGTAACAGCACATTGCCTTGCCTTGCTCTGTCTGTCTGCCTGCCTGCGTTACTTTACTTTACTTTACTGCATTGCTGCATTGCGACACCATCAATAGGTATCGATCGTTCAACAACCATTCTTCAGAATAGCCAATACTCCTCTTCATAACTATCACATCACCCCCATTAATCTATCATGTCGCGCTATCTAAATATGTCGAACCCCCTCGATACTGATGCAGGCTCGGAGCTCTTCAGCAGTTATGAAGCGGAACTTAAATTGGTTCAAGCCGATTTAAACCAAAAGTTGGATCAAATCCCTGATCTCACTGGAGAACATCGCAAAGCTGCTATCAGTCAAGCGGAACGAGCATTAGAAGAGGCAAATGAATTGGTAGGTCCAAGAAATGAAATGGTAGTTATGTTATCTAGTACTTTACTCACTCTTATCTAGCTTGATCAGATGCGACTCGAGAAACAAAATATCCCTTCAGCAACACGAACCAAAGTTAATCAACGATTCCGTAATCATGAATCAGATGTGGATGTATCAAAGAGGAAATTAAAAACTTTGGAGAACGATCGGTCGGCTCTGTTTGGTTCACGCTATTCCGACAATCCGAATGATGTCCAACTCGAGCAAAGACAACAGCTTCTATCAGGGACGGACAGATTGGATCGAAGCTCACAGAGATTGAAGGCTAGTCAGGCATTGGCAAATGAAACGGAGGCTATTGGTGCCGGTACACTCGCAGATCTGCATAGACAGAGAGAGACCATTCAGCATACGCATGGCACCTTGATACAGAGCGAGGGATTCGTTGATAGGAGCGTAAAGACGTTGAGGGGGATGTCTCGTAGGTAAATCGTCCCTTACCCCACTCACAACTGCCGGGGATGTCACGCTGACCACCCTTTTTTAGGATGGCTACCAACCGGATAATCACTGTGGCTATTATAACAGTCTTGGTTCTTCTTATTATTGCCGTTATTGTCAGCAAGTTCAGATAAAGATTTCTTGCTTCTCGGCGGGGCGTTTTCAGTATTCAGTTCAGATACACTTTGTCATAGGTTGATTTCTAATACATTTTTGTGCAATTGGTTTACACTGCAAGAGTCCCAAAATGGCGATTTGTAATAGGAAGGTGATTAGTTTTGATCGAGTTTCCGATGAGAAGTCCCCAGTGCAGCTGGATAGCGGTCCGGGATACAATATCAGTTGCATGGTTCGGGCAAGTGCATGGTATGTAGTGAATCTAGCACTGGCACGATGTAATGATATTTTCCCTTGGATCATTTCCCTTGTGAATGCATTTCTGCCAGCGCATTTGCATATTTCGCCGCAGTCAGCGATTTGGTCTTTTCATCCGGAACTGTGCACATGCTCTCTGCTTGTTACGATGAGCCTCTACCTATCGTTCTCGGGCGAGTGGAATACCGATGCAAATCTCCTCTGCATTTCACGATTCACAAACATACGATCTAATGCATACCGTGCAATTGAACATGTGCGGGCATCCATCCCAACTCTTTTTGATGGGTACCAAGTATCTGAAAATGAGAAATCATGGCACCACGGCTACATATATATCCTTGCTTCATGTGGTCTCTCTCCTACCAACTACTATTGTCTGCCTTTACCCGTCTCTTTTTTTCTCGTTACCAGGAGGTGTTGCACAAATAGGTCCCAAAACAGTACCGATAAGACTTCTTGCAACCCTATATGCAGTTTTCGGTACTACAAAACTACAAGCCAAGGACCTAGCCTCATATGACTACTCACATCAATTTAGGTTTCTATGATGCTCGATTGACATGGGAATACAACAAACCATGTAATCTTCAAAAGATACGCGGGTTTCGATTGGGTTACTCGTGTGTAAAACGTGGAGATCTGTGAAAGCCCCTCTTTCAAAAGAGGCTTCCTGCTTCTTGACAAGGTAAATTTGATATTTCACTTTGTTGAGCCTGCTGTCCTCCCGGTGACGACGGTGCCGAGATTTGATTATGGTGTGCAGCCATGTCTTTATATCTCCTCCATTCTCATCACTCCGCACTTCCCCAATTCTTCTGAATTGTCAGTTTCCGGTTTTGATCGTTGTCATTGAATCAAGCCTTCTTCAACATGTTGTCCCCAGATATCAGCCAGATTAACGTGGTAGCTATTCTTGGAACTTCAATCTTTGTTTACTGCATTTTGGGCGTTCTCTATCGACTTTACTTTCACCCGTTATCCAAATTCCCGGGTCCTAAATTGGCTGCAGCCACCCTCTTGACGGAATTTTATTATGACTGTATCCAATCAGGTCAACACTTCATCAAGATTGCGCAATGGCACGAGCGATATGGTATGTCAACTTGCCATCTCATGCTTCGGATTGTAAGTGTAATCATACTGATGGCTTTGCTCTTAGGTCCAATCATCCGGATCGGACCAAATGAGATTCATATTAATGACCCCGAATACTACGATACTGTGTTCTCCTATGGCGGTGTGAGGAACAAAGATCCATTCTATACAGCACAGTTCAATACGCCAGATACTGGATTTGGCGCTGAAGATCACCATCTTCATCGAATGAGAAGGGCAGCACTGAACCCATTCTTTTCCAAAGCTTCTATCAATCGCCTATCTCCTATGTTAACTTCTATGGTAAATTTGTTCTTCATTTAGCCGTTTCGATCGGAGCCTCGCCTCTTGCTGGTGAGGTTTCTTTCGGTTTCTTTTTATCAAACTCAGATTCTCTGCATCAGTCTTGACGTTTCTATCTCTTACAGGTCGAGAAACTGTCCTCACGCCTTGAAGAGTTTCGAAACACGAATCAACCACTTAGCATCCGCCTTCCCTTTCAGTGTTACACTGCTGACATTGTAACACTTTACGCAACGAATCGCTCTTGGAATCATCTCGATGTGTGCATCTCCTCCCTCTCTTCAAAATCTTTACGAACTAATCATACAGGTGCCGGATTTCAATCCTGCCTGGGCAGAAACATTTGTCGCCATAGCAATCCTAACCAAATGGGCCAAATTCTTCCCTAGAATTTACACATTGATGGAATGCATTCCCAGCTGGATTCTGAGCAGATGTGCTCCAGGCGTCATGCTTACCGTCAATCACCATGATGTAATTTACCTCTTTTTCCTCCATCCTTTTCCGTCCTCGTTCCCTCGGTGCTAACATGACACCCGGCGCAGAGAATCCGTAACCAAATCAAAGAAATCCTCTCCGGTTCTCTGCTTCCGGTCGATGCCCCCGTCGATGGCTTCCCGCGCACCATATTTCATAATTTCCTCAACTCTTCTTTGCCGGAGAGCGAGAAGAAATTCAAAAATATGAGTCAGGAAGCCATTAATGTGATTGGAGCGGGCACAGATACGACGGCTAATACGCTGATGATTTTGGTGTATTATCTGGGGAGTGATCGTGTGAGGTTTGAGAAGTTGAGAGGAGAGTTGAGGAGTGTTGGGTTGGGGAAGGGGGAAAAGGGGGTATTGGCGAGTGTTGAGTTGGGGATGGTGGAGAAATTGCTTTATTTGGTGAGTAGTACCTTTTTTAAAAAATTGAGAGGGAGAGAATTATGATACTAATGTAAATGTTATAGAATGCTTGTATTCTTGAAGGATTGCGGTAAGTAATGCTACGACGAACCGGGAGCAAACAACTAATAAAAGCCAAAAGCCTTTCATACGGCGTCTCAGGTCGACTAGCTCGCATCGCACCTAATGACAACCTCAGATATGGAAAATGGGAAATTCCCGCCGGTGTATATTTTCCTCTTACCCCACACTCTTCCAAGCTGACACACAAATCCTCGAATAACAGACACCCATCGCAATGAGTACCATACTTCAACACCACAGCGAAACAATCTTCCCATCTTCCCATCAATTCATTCCCGAACGCTGGATTCTATCTGATGGTACCATTAACCATTCGCTAGAGCGCTATCTCACTTCTTTTTCGAGAGGTACTAGATCTTGTATTGGTCAGCTGTATGTCTACCTCCTTACATACAAACAATGGCTTAGCTCTATTTCTTCTTCAATATTTCTTACTCTTACTTGATCGACCTCTGCTAACAAGTCTATCAGTCTGGCAAAAGCAGAAATCCACTTGGCCCTCGCAGTCATCGTCTCCCGTTTCAATATTCAACTCTACGATACAGAGTTTGATAGAGATGTTAAGCTCAAGAGGGATTTCTTTTTGCCGCAGCCTGGAATTGATAGCAAAGGTGTGAGGGTTTTGTTGAGTTAACTTCAACCCCTCGATAAGGAGGATATAAAAGGATGCAGAACTGCCAACATGGATGCACGCTTGATATAGAGAACGAAAACGTTTTTGGTTCATATCTCCTTGGAATATTGGAATTTCACGACTGGAGGAGAGAGCATGTCATTTACGTCTGATATAGCTAGCTAGATGCTCTGTTCTAAATGATTATTAAATTGAAACATCGATATGCATCCACTTTATATCCTAATCCGGCGTCTTTTCCATTACATTACCATGTTAATTAAAGTTGTGCGGTCGCTACTACAGTACCACCATACATTATCTCTAAATCTCTCCACCAACACCCAAAGTCTCTCACTTCCTACTCTGCCCCGTGGTCTCTCCAACCAACTCCAGTACCCCCCTTACTTTTTCCCCGGCCTTCTTAGTAGCCACCGCTACATCGCTCTTTTCACCGACGACCCCACTAGCACGACCCTGATCCTTCCCACCCGTTTTTTCAGCAGGAGAAGCCGTTCCAGCTCCAGCCCCAGCCCCAGAAAGTACCGGCGCCCCCAGAGCAGGAGCATTCCTTTCCTCTCCACTGCCCATCAGTTTCTGACCCCATACTATATACATATTACACCAATTATGTACTCTGCTATCTTTGAATTCATTTCGGACGCCGGCGGCGAGGACTTGGTATCTGTAATTTGTGTTGGTTCGTTTTGATCTTTTTTGGACTGATGACAACTCCCCTCTCTCTTCTTTGATTACTCTGATTATGAGATGAGGTAGGGTGACAAATGAAAGAGGGTGGAGAGAAGAAATGGAAACTCACTCTTCAGGCGACCATCCCAATATCCGTGTGAAGTGCGCCATTCCATATGCCACGGTTGCCTCTAACATGTTCTGTTGCATGTATAGACCGATTTCTTTGTTGCGGCGGTCGCGGGCCCAAGGTGCCATGGGGAGCTAGATGAGCGGTGGTGGTTAGTGGGATATAAGGGAAGGGAAGAATGAGGATGTGTGGAAATAAAAAATAAAAGCCCAAAAGACCAAAAGACTAAAAGGCATCCGCCCTCTTCCTTATTCCCAAGATCTGGAAACAGTCCTAAGACTGCGATGTACATTCTTGGAGGTTACATTTCGATGTTCTTGAAGACCATCGGAAGCCATTCAATCTCTAGCTTTCATCCGAAGAACAGATGTCAAGACCTACCCTCCAATGTTTTTCCACAACCGCCTCGAACCCCGCTTCATTTAACCAATCTTTAAATTTCATCGCAACATTTAAGTCTCGACCGAATAGTTTAGATGCTTCATCAAGGCCAGCTTGCCATTTCTGAAAGGATGGAGCTAGCTGTTGATTGATTAGATGGAACTGTGGTGCAAAATAGTTGAGGATAGTACATACTTCGCCTGTCCCATCATCTGAGTATCCATGGCTCAAAAGAGGTTAAAGTAAGCATTATCCAAGGGGGTGGGGTTGTGATAGGAAATATTGTTTTAAAGGAAGAAGATTAAAGCAAAGGTTGACACACTATTCAAAGTCTACAAGCTCGATATAACCCCCTTCATTTAGGTTGTCAAAAGCTTGTTCAAGAAGGTGAGGCCTGTGAATTGCCAGTCAGTATGATAGGATGATCAGCCATCATGTCCAGATGGAGTCGTTGCAACAGACCAAGAAGCAATGGAGCCACCCAGAGAGCGAATATGTATGAAGTCAAATTTCTGGCTATAACGCCATGTATCTTCTACATCATCAATCTAATCTTGATCAGCATGCTCATCTTGTTAGTCGACGACGGCGCCTTACTTCGAATTCAAGATTCGGTGGAATCCTGTGAGATGCTTAGCACGCATCAGTGGCGAAAGCGGAGAAAACATACCAGCCAGGCTGAATCGGAGACAAATCACAGCCCACAACATGGGACGAAGGATATCGACTTTGAATAGGGGTCAGACATCTACCACAGACCTATCGAAATGACAAGAGCATACTCGGCGAAATCAATTGCCCAAATCCCAGTACCGGTTCCAACATCGAGTACTCTTTGAGGATTCTCAACCGGGGCTAAGTATAACTTGCCATCTAAGACGAGGTTGAAAACGTGATGGAGCTATTTGTCGATTAGATCGACCTCTCCAAGTGTCAACAGGTCATATACACACTAGGTCCATTCGATCTTGTTCGTCGTCGTCGTTCGGCTTGTATGTTTAGTACTTTGGTGTGAAGAGTTCTGAGGATGTGTCTCACCATTAAATATTTTCCATCTCTATAAGCATGGTATCTCCGGCCATTCTAAGAGGTATAAGTATATTTGAATACTTCAGGTATACAGAATATCAAGCCTACTTCTTCTCTGGGACGATCGAGTCAACTTGAGAACCTCCAGTAGTAAGCAAAAACGCACTCACCTGTATCGTGTAATTCCCGATGTCAACGACGTCTTACTCGTATTGCTACTATACAGGCATTAGTCTATATTCATAGACATTGGGAATTACCTACGCTGCAGGTCCGCCAAATGCAGAGTCGTTCTCAAGTGCGTCGTTATCCTTCACTAGTAAGCTTTGATTTTTGAGGGTTATGCAAAGGATCAGATTATTACATCGACTTCGATCGGATTTGAAATAGCATCATCTTGTGGATCTTGAGGAGCTCCACCAGCTGCATTGAAAGCATCGATGGCTTCTTGCGATGTTGCCATATTCGGATTTGGGGTAGAATCAATCACATTAATAGAATCATGAAAATATGAAGGGAAATGTAATATATATACGAAAAGAGAGAAACATAAAGGTAATTAATATACCTCGCTCAACTGGTCATCTCCCCAATGCAAAACGTTGTAATACCACATCTTTTGTGTCTTGCATATCAGTACATATTGCAGCTTATTCCGATAACCTATAAGTCTGACGGCAGTGATAATTCCTGGCTTTCTATGACTCGTCCCAAAGTGCCGGGCCCGTTTTGCTTGGACGGATGAACCAGATTCCGCCAAGGTACTACAAGATATGCAGAAGGGTAAGTTCTACATCACTCTACTCACATTGTATGGTCGGCGATCAAAGATTGGCGTTATGGTGCTGCCACAATACATTTATTTGCCTGTCGTAATAATAAATAATAATTGAAGTGATGAATATTAGTATTGAGGTAGGATATTGCGATTATGAAATAGGAGAATTGTGATATCTACAGGGTAAAGAGGTTGTGTTACCACACTCAGCTGAATAAAAAGTGGTTGTGTCAAATTTATTGCATCGATAATAATCAATATGTCAACTTGACAGTTCTTACCGTTGAATTTGAAAAAAAAAAAAAAAAAAAAAAAAAAAAGTCCGAACCGGAGTAATGGCAAGCCAATAAGGCATCTAGAATGCGATGTCAATACTATGTTAAATGGCCGCGTATCATAGAAAACTTCCGTCGCCATCTCTTCTCAAACGACCTAATAACTTCGTGGAAAGCTCACTCATGCTCTCACATCGCCAGATGAGATAGATATAAGATAAAAGGTGCCCCGACGATCTTGATAGCTAATTCAACCAACCATCTACTCTTGCAGATTGTCATGAAAGAACCCTTAAAAACCCAAATGTGATACTTAGAAGGAAACCTGTAAAGACAGCAATTTGTCTCCGCGATGACAATATTCCAGGTTCTCTTAACACCCATACCACACACCCAAGTGGCCATAAAAATCCTATAATGTTGCCCCATAATAAGTCATCAAACCCACTCCCCATACCATCATCTCCAAAGTCAAAACCACCCTCAGCTCCGCCCGCGCCATTCCCTGCATTATTATCTATCCAAGAATCTTCCATCCGCAACAAGGTATCAGGAGACGGCATAGTATCTGGTGTATGTATATTCGCTTGGATTGATTGGAATTGAAGTCGCAGTTGATTAACTTCAGCTGGAGAAAAGCCTGCGGAGAGAAATCGATTGAAGCCACGCGGTGCAACTGTTGTGCTTGAAGCTGGTACTCCGAGACTCGCGGAAGCTATATCTGATGATTCTTCCTTTTTTGGCTTGTTGAATGCGGTAGTGGCTGCTAACGTTTCTGCATCGATATCGGAGAGACTGAGAACATCATCACCAATTGAACAGTTGATGTATACCCTAGCTGGAGGTGGTTCTAAACCTTTCCCTTTCCCCTTCCCTTTCGCATCTATAGCCCGTGGTGGTGATGTCGGAACTTTGAGTATAGCTGTTAGGAAATCATCATCTCCTATGAACTTTCCACCGTATATGAAACGAAATCGACGCTGTGATGCAGGAGGTTCAAGCTTCGAACGAATTAGATGTTTTAATCCTACACCGGTAATGTTGTTATGAGTGGGAATATCCAAGAGTAGATCTGGAATCGAATCTGCGAATCTAATGGTGATATGTAGTGGACTCGATAGTGGTGAAGCTGTAGAGCTTGGCTTTGAAGCCATCGATGATAGTAGTAAAGGCTTGAGGAAGGCGGGCTCGATACCGTAGTAATTTTGTCAACCTGCAAGTTATTTATTGTTTGTCAAACAAAGTCTTGTTGTCAGTCTAGTAGTATTGTAATCAAATGAGGATAGGTAGTTGGTAGACCTTCCTGCAATGTTGTTGTGTAAGTCTGTCTATTCACAATTACTTACTCTTTCATCCTCTGTCCTCGATCCCTCCATTCTCCATCCTTCCTTAATACCTCTCTCATCCCCCATATTTTTGTTTAACCCCACTTAGCTGATGGCTTGGCTGGCGGGAGCACTGTGCACGCTTTCTCGCACCTTAGTACCCCTGTAGAATTCCGATTGCGACATTGCGGTACTTCAAAAGTATTAAAGTTATAAGAAATTGTGATACAACCACCAGGTATCGATGATATTACTAGTTTCTCGAAAATCTTCATACCTTTTGGCACAACCTTTGAAATATCATTTTATCAAGACTCCTGCTATCGCATCTCCCCGCTTCTTCCATCTCATCATGAGTAACAGATCTAAGCTTCAACCTGCTGCTCGGGTCGCTGCACAAAAGCAAGATGTTTGGTATGTGTAATTTACTCAGGAACTCATGAAGGAGCTGTGTGGTCAACTTTATGATTAAAAGTCTGGTGCAAAGAGCATGAACTTCAGACAGTTGCTCGTACTTCCTCACCGATACCGATGTCAATGTCAATGTCAATAAGCATAACAGCTTACTACTTTTTGTCACTTCACTAAATCTCTGACATGAAACAATCGCAGGTCAATTGTCAATGAGGGTGCTGCCGCCTCTCCCAAACAACCCATTGTAAACATGGGCCAAGGGTTTTTTGGATATAATCCTCCTAAGTTTATTCTCGATGCCGCCAAGGCAGCTCTTGATAAGGTAGAATGCAACCAATATTCGCCAACGAAGGGCCGCCCCCGTCTCAAGCAAGCAATTGCAGACTCATACTCGCCCTTGTGGGGAAGAAAGCTGGACCCAGAGACGGAGATCACCATCACAACGGGTGCAAACGAAGGTTAGGGGACACTCGAAGTAATGGGATATACGCTTACTAGTTGCAGGCATGCTTAGTGCCTTCATGGGTTTCATCGAAGAAGGAGACGAGGTTATAATATTTGAGCCATTCTTTGACCAGTAAGCTGGTATGCCGAAGTTGAATCAACGAATGCGATACTGAGTCTATACAGATACATCAGCAACATAGAAATGCCAGGTGGAAAGATCCGTTACGTACCTCTACATCCACCTGAAAAAGGAGCGACTCAAAATACTTCTGCGGGCGAATGGACAATAGACTTTGCCGAGCTCGAGGCAGCCATCACACCTAAGACGAAGATGATCGTTCTAAACACACCCCACAATCCGGTTGGAAAGGTCTTCTCAAAAGAGGAATTGCTTAAGATTGGAGAACTTTGCGTTAAGAACGACATTATCATTCTCTCCGACGAAGTATATGACAGACTCTACTATACGCCATTTACCAGAATCGCAACGTTATCTCCAGAAATCGAGAGACTTACACTTACAGTTGGGTCTGCGGGGAAGAACTTTTACGCTACTGGATGGCGTGTTGGTTGGTTGATCGGACCACCACACCTGATCCAATATGTTGCAGCAGCACATACACGAATCTGCTATTCTTCTGTGTCTCCCTTACAAGAAGCTGCGGCTGTTGGGTTTGAAGAAGCTGATGCCAACAACTTTTGGGAGTCGGCGGTAACGGAGATGAAGGGTAAGATGAATCTATTCAACAAAATTTGGAAAGAATTGGATCTTCCTTTCTCCGATCCCGAGGGAGGTTATTTCGTTCTGGTGAACATGAAGAAGGTCAAGATTCCATCGGACTATCCATTTCCCGATCACGTTAAGGATCGTCCAAGAGATTTTAGATTAAGTTGGTTTTTGATACAGGAGGTTGGCGTAGCTGCTATTCCTCCAACCGAGTTTTACACAGATGAGAATGCTCATATTGGTGAGGACTGGCTACGGTTTGCGGTATGCAAAGAGGATAAAGTACTTGAATCCGCAAAGGAGAGGTTAAGGGACCTGAAAAAGTACATTGAGGCATGCATTTGAGACGGTAGAAATAGAGGCGATTTTGAACATATAGATATATAGAGCCTAAGATCCCTACTAGGTAGTTCTAGCGGGGTAAATAATTACCAATTGCAAAATCGTCATTCGTGGGGTTGTGGGATCAACAATGAATTTTGTGTCTCATTACGAGTATCATTATATGATTGACAAGACAACACTTGGATATACAATACGGGTCGAGCCTAACAACTGAACTAGGCCCCCTATGGTAATGGATACTGATAATATCAAGGTAACATTCCAAAGTAATGTCTTTAGAGAGTATTGCTTGTACATTCTGGACCTTACGGTATGTTGATCCCAGCACTAAGGAATAGTGACATCATGACTATTGACTTCACATACATATAGATATAGGTATTTGTTTACAACATTGAAAGGGCAAGTCAAATAAACAATTGTCACCGTCACTTCATATGGATTCTACCATCTCCAGTTCCAAAATCATGCAGACAGTCAAAAACACCATCGCCGAGAACTTCGGTAGCACGTATGTATTCATCTATCCATCTAAATTCTCTGCCTTTCATATACTCATATACTGTAGACACTTCCTTGCAAAGCCAGAGCACCAATTCACCCTCGAGGATTGCCCTGACCAAAGTGGAAAAGTAGCAGTCATCACCGGTGGCAGTGAAGGTATCGGCTATGGTTGTGCACACACCCTTCTAAAAAACAATCTCGCGAAGCTTTTTATCATTGCTGTATCCCAGGAAGTCTACGATGGTGCTGTAGAAGATATTTCCAAGACTATCTCACCCGAGGCAGCTCAAAAATGTACATTTCTTAAGTGTGATATGTCCGATTGGCCGGCTGTCTGCAAGGTTGCTCAAACAATATCCGACAGCACAGATAGAATCGATATCTTGTGCAATCTTGCTGCGCGAGGTATCATGACATATCAACTTACCGACTATGGTCTCGATAGACATATGGCTGTCAATCATTTTGGCCACGTTGTTCTCACTAGTCATTTGATGCCAATCCTCAAGAAAACAGCAGAGGCTGGACATACTGTCAGAATCGCCAACATGGCATCAAATGCTCATGCAGCTACACCTAGCGATTGCAAGTTCGCAAGTCAGGATGAATTGAATACTGATTTGGGACCAAATGGACAATACGGGAGATCCAAGTTAGCCGCTATGCTTTATTCTCGCTACTTGGCTCGTCATCTCACTTCCAAATATCCTAAAATCTTGGTCAACTCTATGCATCCAGGATTTGTCGATACAAAGATGTCGCAGGTTGATATTCATGAACCGTATCCAACGCTTGGGTATGGTATGTCTGTCCTGATGAAGCCCTTAAAGAAGGATCAGTGGGATGGCTGTATCAGTACCCTATTCGCCAGTACTGCAGTCGAAGAAAGTGGATTGTATATTTGTCCGCCAGCTATCCCGGAGCCGGGAAGCTCTTTATCACAAGACGAGGAGTTGGGCGAGCAATTGATGAAGTTGACAAAGGAGATCATCGTTGGTAAAATGCCCAAGAAGAGTGTCGATCAGGGATGCCCACTTCATCTTTATTGAACGGGAATTCCGAATACTTTCTTGAATTTAAAGATAGACATATTGATCATAAATAATATTCTATTCTACTATTGCAACTCTGATGTCTATGTCGAGCCTAGCTTCTCTTTTACCCATTTCCTTCATTTCCTTTCGCTTCATTGAAATACCCCCAACACCCTTCATACCCTCACTCCCCCAAAGACCAAATTCCCTCTCCCGTTCACAATCACAAATCAATCGTCTTCCCTTTTCATCCACATCTCCGCAACTTTCACAGCACTTGACACCTTCGCAGCCTTCGCAAACAACTAACACCAGCTCGCAACCTTCAACGTCACATTTTCCCATCCTATCTTCCTCCTTTCCACATCCATGGCACCCTGCTACCTTCTTTCTCTCCCTCTCATTACCCAAACCCAGTGAACCTCTCCCATCAAAAACGTACTCCCTCCCCTTCCATAAGCACTCAATTTCTCTCCTTCTCCCAGATAGCATTTCCTCCTCAAACCAGGCCATGTATGCCGATATTCCTCCCTTCAGCGTGTAGATTCTATCTTCTGGAGCTTGCTCCACATTCTCCGCTATCCACCTTGTAGCCTTTTCACAGCGAATGCCACCTGTACAGTAAGAGAAAATTGTCTTACCAGCACTCCCTTGCTCCTTCTTATGCTCGGTTGGGGAACGAGAAATGGAATCCATATGTCTCTTCACAAATGCAGGAAATTGTGAAAATTTTCTAACCTGTGGCTTCACAGTCTCAATGCCAGTTCCTTCCGGTGCCGCAAAGTATCCAATTCGTGATTCATAATGGTTTCGTATATCAAGTAAAATCCTCTCTCCTTCTTTTTCACTTGTCGTCGTAACCATATTGTGAAATTCTGCAGGATTTAAATAAGTCACCGCGCTCCAATTTCTGGGCTCATAATTCGTAATTCCCAATGGCGTAATTTCGTGCGTAATACGAGTATTCAGGTGCGTAAAAACGCACGCACAGCCTTTTGTTGGTTTGAAGAAATCCTTGATTCCTTTCTCGTCCGCCAAGGACAGATCTAAGCCAGCCGATGACCAGTGAGATATACAGGACTCGATATACGAATTTACAGCCGACACCGACCCTGCAACAGTGATATTGAAACCCTCTTTTGCAACACGGATCTTACCCGTAAGACCTAGAGCCTCACATGTTGACTTTTGGAAATCGTACAAGTCTTGGAGGGAAGAGGTTGTGAGTGGATAGTGTGGTAAAAGAAGTGGAGGGGAAGAGGTGAAGTAGCGATAAAAGAGAAGGACGAGGCCAGATTGGTGACAAGTGCAGGCGTAGGTGAGGGGGTCGGAAGGCATCGCTGTAAGGTCATAGGTAGAGAGGTGTGAGGTATGTCACGTGTGGGCTGCCAATAATATTTTCTAATTATTATTGTTGGAAAGTATATATCTACTAGTACAGTGATTGTACAGATATACAAACTTTTGATTCTAACAATTATAATATAAGTAGTGACTTTTAGATTAATCGAAAAATTGATTAAGAGGATTGATTCTAATTAAGATTATGAGATTCTTTAAATATCTTATATCAAAAGATTTATTAAAAAAGTAATTAAAATCTAGAATAATATAAAAGCTTATTATAATATATATTTTAGTATATATTATTATATTTGAAACTTTTAATAATATAAATATTATTTCAGATCTGAAATAATAAGATTTAGATATTATCTTAGATTTGAAATAATAAATACTATTAGAAGTTGAGATTAGATATTATATACTCTATATTCTTACTATCCTTATCTTTCTTATTATTCTAGTTCGAATAAATATCTTAGATATTCATTTATTATATAATTGAAATCACTTTGTATATCTTCTTTTCTTCTTATAATATATAATATTGGAAGTTGAGATTATATATTACGTATTCTATATCTA